GTTTGCTTTCCCAAGCCGTGTGTCAGTAACGGCGTGCAGTTTGTCTGTCTTTGATGTGACATCATTTGCCACACGTCCATCCCCTATTGGCTGTGACTACTGTATTCCAGTATGTTCTGACATTACTTGTGTAAGACGAGGTCATGATGAGCAGCCTAGATTAGCCTAGGCTAGTGATCTATACGTCAATAGCTTATCCTGGAGTAGAGGAAGCGTCCAGGATGGAGCAACTCTCAGCACCGAGGAAAGGCTCATCTCGGGGACCGAGGGAGGTATGCGACCGAGGTACATGGGTGACCGAGGACACGTGTTGGTTGTACAATATACTGAATGCATGATCCTATATGAGGTACCTCGGGGGCGAGGACATTCGTTCGCTGATGGCGCTTGATCCAAGCAACAGTGTTTTAACAAACCCCGAGGACACGTGTCTTCATCATAGGGCATTTCAGAAGAGTCCCATCAATCTTTATTTTAATTCCTCTGTTTATACGCAAATAATGTTGGTTGAAATTAACTACAATAACCTCATTGTTCGCGGCTTCGACCTCAGTTCGCTAATCATCCGATACTTCCTATTAAACAAATTAGTACACATAAGTTATAATTGCACATACTATTAGGACCATTAAATGACTACAAAATACTTAGGTTAGGTGGTAAAATCAATTCAATTACTACAAAAAATCGAGTAGTATACATAAGAAAATTGTACTCACTTGCACACACTCTTTGTTAAGTAGTTCTCTCCCATTTGTAGACACCTTTTGGGAAAGATTTTCCAACATCTTTATAATTTTATTTAGATGTTGTAACGACCCACCCCAATTTGTCAAGATATTGTCCATTTTGGGTGCCTATAAAACCTCACGGGTTTGTTCCTCTGGGAGTTCGCTCCAATTAAAGCATCTTAACAGTTTAGGGCGAGCACACCACATAAATAGCCTAATCACTCCCTCCTGATTTGGTGTGACATGCAACACATGAAGCTACAACACCTCCTCACCTCACAAGGCCTATTGGCAGACTACTACACTCCACCCCCTTAGAGGTCACATGTCCTTGCAAGGCCCACATAGAGTCCCCCTCACCGGCTATAGGAGAATCAGCTTTGGTACCACCTATAACGACCCGCCCTAACCTGTTAAGATATTTTCTGCTTTGGAAATGACACTTAATCTTGAAGACCTACACTAAAATAAATCTTTAAATCCTCTAAGCCCTTATCTATCTGTAGATTTACTCCTCATCCTAATTCTCACCTAAAAAATGTTAAATGTTTGTATGAGCACAACGACCCATGAAAACAATCTCTAATGAGGTATGAAAATAAGTCTCATAGTTTATATACAAAAATAAACTTTTATATATACATAAGTACAACAAATTGTATTTCAACCTCTCTCACATAATCATTTATACAAAATGATCTCATGTTCACAAACAACTTTATAAATGAAAAGATATTTATAACCCAAAACACCCACTCATTTTTACAAAAAAACTTTATAAATGAAAAGAGATTTATAACTCAAAACACTCAAACACACATTCAGTCTCAAACACAATTTTCATCTCATGTTTGTTACCACTAGCTTGGTAACTGACTCCGTTTCTTATCACTACTAGCTTGGTAACTGACCTCATCTCTTGTCATCACTAGTTTGATGACTGACACTTATGTGCACATCTTTATACTGATTGCACTAGTATACCTTCAATATCATTACCATTTAGATCTGGTAACCCAGTTCCATCTCATAAAACATGATTTTAACACACAAAAACTGTCGTTTTAGTCCTAACATACACAAAATTTTCCATTCATCACCAAAACACATTTAAGCAATGATACAAAATCATCCTAGAAGTTTTGAAAATTCACAAGTATAACAATTCACAATTGCAAAATATTTAATTGCAACCCCAAATATCAACATATATATCATATGTAAGAAATATCCACGCACAAATTTAATATAGAAAATCCTCCCAAAAGAAGTAGTAAACTAATCACCTTGATTCCTGATATCCAATTGAAAACCCTTCCTTCCAATCTCAATGCAATCATCACTTAGATCAAAATAGCATGTTCTGATCAATTTCTATTCTTAATTTCGTAATTTCTCGATTCTATATGTAATCTTTCATACTTCCTACCTATAGATTCATATTCTTTATATACCATTTACATATGTATAAAATTTCTAATATGACATAATAAGGTACAAAAGTAGTCCGACAATTTAGAAATTTTTTTATAAAGTTTTGGAGTCAAATTATAATTTTTAAAACTTTTGGGATCAAAGTATAATTTTTTTAAAAACAAATTTTTTATTTTTGGGGCTGCCATAAATATTCTAAATTTCTATTCTTCCAACTTACAAAGTAAAATGATGGTTAAAATTAAGTTTATAAGAATATAGGTGTCAAAATAAAGCTCTATAAAACTAAAAGGGAGGTCTCCATAATTTCAGAATTCCCATCTTCTTTGACCTACGAAAATTGGATCCTGAGCTTTCTTGGTTCTTGATTCTTTGTTTTTCTTCTTCTTTTTAACACGTGATTAAATTATTTACAAGTCTCAAGATCAACCAATCTAAATTAGGTCTAATGACTCATAGAATTAACAACTTATAATAAAATCTATTTATATATTCATCATTATTTCCCATCACACACACACACACATATATATTTTACACTAATATTATGATAAAAACTAGCACCATGTGATTGAATGAAAAATATAAAACCCATAAAATAAATGATGGATTCATACCTTTAATAGATTCAAATCCAAATCCTTTACTTCCTTTCTTTTTCCTTATCTCTCTCTCTCTCTCTATGTAGAATCCTTCTTCTTGTTTCCAAGATATAAAATATTCAGTATATATCTATATAAGTGGACATTTAGGGAAATAAGAGGACTTGTCTTAATCACACTTTCATCCCATTTAGTGGTTATTATTATTTTTTTATAATTTGTGTTGGTACTCAATGCACTAAATAAAATTAAATAATTAATTTTTTTGTACGGGTTATTACATGCATCACCAAAAATCCTGGGAAACTTTTCATCATGCGCCTCCTAATTACAAACTGAACTAATTTTGTCTACAATAGTGCAAGTCATTCCCAATCCAAGTCAAGCAAGGCTTACCTAACTAGAAACTGGGCACAACTGATGATATCAAAAATTAGCTAAGGTTGAGTTTGAACCTATTAGCTCGAGCATCTAAGCTCAGACCTCTCAGCTCATGATCATCAGATCGAGGTGTGTAGGTTGGGAATAATCACCGATGTGACCCTTGTGCACACAGAGACAGCGACAGCTTTCACCTTTTAGAAAGCCACGTCACACCTAAAAAATATAACCCCTAATGGCCAAATATTCTGGCACATGGGTTGCAACAGTCCCAAGAGGATCACGTTGATTATGCAAGGATCGCATTGGTTATGGGAGGATCGCAGAGATCACACAAGACAACTGTATACTATAAATAGGGATCAAATCTCTCGCATTGTAATCAAGCAAGCATTTGTGCTACCACTCTGTGTAATTCTGTAACTTTCTCCCTCTAATTAATAGAAAACTCTCTCAGGATCAAGAGACTCCAACCGTCTATCTATTGATCTTCATTTGTTGTTATCTCTCTAAATTGATAGTTCAACCCCCAAGAACCTAGAAGCTCTGACTGGATATCCCAGTAATCCGCTTTAATATCCACAACAATATCCCCAAACCACTCACCTTTGCTTAACCACGCAGAACACACCATGAACACCGATTGTGTGATTGGAATTTGGTAAATCTTTGTATCAGGTATAACTGCACTTTCTATGTTTATTTAATGTATCTTCTTGCTATGAAAACTAAACCTTCACAACAAAAAATTATAGAACAACTTCAGTAAAAACACATACCGAGTGTGTACATATAATTTATCAGTGATTTTTTCTTGTTCTTTTGAGGTTGTCTCAAAAGTTATTGCGAACCATCATCTGTCTTTCCCTCTTTTGTGGTTGGAAACCATGAAAAAAAAGCCTATAAGAGTTAACAATGGGCAAAAAACCCAAGTATGATTGGCATCATTATGATTCTTTTTAATCTTGATTTTGGATGTTAGGTCGATTGTGTCAACAATTGGATCTATGTTGGACTATTTGTTTGGCAAGAAAATTTAGGAAAATGGGATTTCATGTTGTTATGGTTTTGGTAAACGAGGTTTGATTGTGTTCCTAATAAAATTACTTATATCCCCTGTTTCCATTTTCGTTGTTCTTGTATGTACCTGGCAGCGTACATGTAGCATTAAGGCTTTAATTTGGTACTTAGTTTGTTGAATTTTTATAATTGTAGAATGACACGAGGATTTAGAGAATCTATTCACTCAAAATAAGTACGTAGAATCACCACATATGTTTGTCATGATGATGAATTTTAATCCATTTCACTCAAAATAAAATATTGTATTTGTAATCACTTTAAACTTCTACCATATTTTAGAGATTTTCAAATTTGTGTTGTGTTTTTGGCTGTTGTTAAGGAAACTCAAGGATTGAGTGACCCAACTTGATGGCAAGGTCTTCCATTTGGGCGAACAAGTGTGGACTATGGCAAAAAGGAAGGAGAATCAGGAATCCTTGGTCACCAGACGCTCGCTAATGAGTACCGCGTCTTCCCAGTGGAGTGACCCAACTTGATGGCAAGGTCGACCATTTAGGCGAACAAGTGTAGACTATGTCAGAAAGGCAGTAGAATTAGGAATCGTTGGTCACCAGACGCTCGCTAATGAGTACCGTGTCTTCCTAGTAAAGGATAGTCGTCTTAATGAGGCCTCAATGATTTTGCTAGTGATGCCCAAAGTGTGAGGGACCGGGTCAAAATGAGGAGCTTGCTGTGGAGATAGGTCTCTGGTTTATGAACTGAATGTCTCACCTAACGACTTTGTATATTTTGATTGATCATGTGGAGTTAGGCCTTTTTGTAATAATAGAACAAGTTAGATGTTGTGACTCATTTTGTTGGGGATTTGGAAGTGAAGACTATAAATCCATCTAAATGTCCTAAGGTATATTCTATAATACCTTGATGAAGCTCATTTTATTCAGAAATTAATCAACTCAAGTTGTGTATTCAATGTTCCAAGTTGATTTAATACCTTTAAGAGAAATGTCTTTTTTTAAAGAGTATTTCAGTTTCTTTTCATCCTTACCCTGTCTATTTTATGTTTAATAGCTTTTCCTTGAAGAAATTGCTCAGGATATTCACAAAACTGATTCACATTGGGGAATTACTGTGCTAAAATACTTCAACCCTGTTGGCATTCACGAGATTAGCAAAATTGGTGAAGATCCAAAGGGCGTCCTAAACAATCTGAATCCTTGCATCTTACAAGTAACTATTGAAATATTCTCAGAGTTAAATGTAGTGGTCATGATTATCACATGTCAAAAGATAATACAGATACCATGAAAGATATTGAATTAATTTAAATCTTTAAAATTATTAAGATAATATCTAGTAGTTTTTCTTGTACTCAGTCTTGATAGCCTTGGCTAGGAAAACACCAAAGTTTTTGGGTTTAATGTTAATGATGGGACATTTTTGTGATCAAGGGGGATACGACATGTGTCCTCAACATCTTGGCCAAGAATCTTTCTTTGAATGACACGTGTCCTTGACATCTTGGCGCAAAGTGTTCTCTAAATGACATGTGTCCTTGGGATCTTGTCCGCGAAGTGTTCTCTGAATGACGTGTATTCTCGGCATCATTGGCTACAAAGCGTTCTTTGGATGACATGTGTCCTCAGTATCTTGTTCATGGAGTGTTCTCTGAATGACTTGTGCTCTCAACATGATCAACTGCAGAGTGTTCTTTGCATGACATGTGTCCTTGGCATCTTGGCCGTGGAGTGTTCTATGAATGACAAGTGTTCTCGACATCTTGGCCGTGGAGTGTTCTCTGAATGATACATGTCCTCGACATCTTGTCCATGGAATGTTCTCTGAATGACACATGTCCTTGGCATGATTGGCCGCGGAGTGTTCTTTGGATGACATGTGTCCTCAACATCTTGTCCAGTGAGTGTTCTTTGAGTGACACGTGTCCTCGATGCTACTGTTCCCTGAGCATTCTCTACTTGACATGTGTCCTCAGCATAAAATCATTCACTCTGGCAAGACATGGATAACTATTTTGATAGTTATTCCCTACTAAATGATATGCTAAATTCTCAAAAAAAGGGAAAGGTCAGCTGATGCAAGCATACCCATGATCGAGGCAAAGCGGAGCATCATGACCTAGAGGCAAGGTTGACAATCAATCATCAATCACCCTTCCCAAGGCAGCCAAAATGGCAAAGGACACAGTTTAGTAACCAATAGTAAGGATGTACAAAGTAAAAGACAATGAAATCTTGACCCCTTAGGGGGTAATGGATGAAAGTGCCCTTGCTCAAGTGTAGCCACAATCAGGGCACATTAAATAACCCCCACAGAATGATGAGACATATTTATTACTCGGTAAGGTTAGCAAGGCACACATTAAATGCTCAGGGGTCTGAGCATTAAATACAGAAGCTTCTGTCACGTGAAAATGAGGGCTCTCTGCTTGAAGATTGTGTACCACATGTTGCCCTGCAAGTGAGCCAATGGGGAGCCTTCCCTAAAAGGGATCCAGATGTCCACAATAATTGACTCTAGGGAGGTATAAATAACATTCTCAAACTCTAGTTTAAGGTACGTAAACTCTTACCCAAGCAATAGAACAGTGATTTTTCAACCTTCTCTTAAATATTGACTTGATCGTCAGATGGGTCACATCAAAAAACACTCCAACGCCCTTTTAACCTTTCTTTTTGAGTGACAAGATTGTGTTTGAGGACTCACGAGTGAACTAGTCTTTTGTAAGGAGTTTTATCACCATACATTACTATTTTTCATCATCCATCTTACTGCGGAACATTCGACTTTCTAGGTAAACTCGAGTTCATCAGGGGAGAGATCTGTCAATTTATTTATTGTGCCAGAATCACCACACACAATTTGGCATCTTCTAATGGAAAAATACCAAATTTTCTAATGATAATGACCATGGTGAACACACGTTTGAAAGGAAAAGGTCCTTAGGAAAGGAATATGAACATACCATCTCCTTCCATATCAAGAGTGGAGGATCGTGTTGAAGTGTCAACAAGGAACATCCAAGCCACTCTAGAGAAAGAACCTAGCAGATTGAAATAAGTTTGGGGGATCATTTAAGAAAAATTGAGGAAAACATCGTAAATGTTTTGAATAGAGTCGATGAGTTTGCTCTCTTCTATGGGGTTTCTCGGAGTGTACCGCCCTTCAGAGAACCCTCAGTCAAAGAGATGGGGGGCAACGATTTGAGGAGTCAACTTAGCCATGGAGCAAAAGACTCTGAGGCTTCAAAATGCCTAAGGGCCAATGGACAAAACCCAGAGGACTTGGCTAAAAAGGACAAGCCAAGTCCTATCCAGGCGCGAGGAGAAGAAAAGTCTGATGAGGGGTCGACTCTCTCCATGAAGAATAGTGGGGCCTGGTGTCATGCAATGCACTGTGACCTAGATGAGAGGAGATACCATAAAGATGAGAAAAATTTGAGATCCAAACTAAACTCGAAGAGGACACTCATGACTACAACGACGATATGGGCAATGAAGCCATCCAATCACCGTTCACTAAAGACATCAAGGAGATGAATGTGCCAAAGAAATTTTTCGTACCACAGCTCAAGGTTTACAATGGGTGTTTCAATCTATAGGCCCATCTCTGATAGTATAAGTAGTTGATGTCCTTGTACCACTCAAACCATAGGCTTTTGTGCCGAGTATTCTCGATGAGCCTAGGCGATATAGCCATGAAGTGGTTCGAGACCCTGTCACCAAGTAGCATAGGGTCCTGGAGGGAGCTTACTAGATAATTCTCTGCTCGATTTATCATAGGGAGCAAACGTCCCAAGGATGTGGGATCCTTTTTTAGCCTCCAGGAAAAGGAAGGAGATACGATATACCAATATGCCACTCGCTGCTGGGAGGAGGTGAATGAGGTAGAAGGATGCTCCGAGGTCATGGTAGTGGCTTTTTTAGAACTTGGTTTGTCTCGGGACATGGACCTTTATAGATCCTTAACAAAATAGATGCTAGTGGACATTTGTAAATTGATGGCTCATATTAAAAAGTACTCAAGGATAGAAAAATAATTGACAAGAAGTAAGGGGAATAACCTAGCTTCTAAGAAAAAGGATACGAAAAAAGAAAGGGTCCCTCTTAAGAAAAGATTGATTTCGACATTGGGAAATTCTTTTAGAGGGATCCATATCATGTTCAAAGAGTCAATCTACAAGCTATTGCACAAGATTAAGAATGAGTCATTCTTCAAGTGGCTGCCAAGATGCAGGGCGATCCTTCCACCATAAATCAGAATGCTAGATGTTCATACCATAAGGATCTGGGGCATCTCATTGAGGATTGCCAAGTGTACAAGTCCTTGCTGGAGAAATTGGTCCAAGAGGGATACCTCCAAGAGTATATTGAGAAGGATATGTCAAGGGATCCTAATGTTGTCGATGACCGTACCATTGTTCGTGACAATGTAATCGATGTCATCCACATCGGTAGTCTTGAATGGCCAACAACAAACACTCTCAAATCTGACCTAAAGAGAGTGGCTTTCGCTAGAGAGTTGGAGGAGAAAGATGGAGGCCAAACAAGTAAGAGGTCACAGACGAATCAAGGTGGCATACCCTTCTCGAATGTCGACCTAGCAGGAGTGACCCTCCCCCATGAAGATGCCTTGATCATAACTCAGCGAATTTCAAAATTTGACGTTAAAAGGGTCCTAGTTGACTTGGGGAGCTCCTCGGAAGTGATGTACCTTGATGTGCTCAAGCAAATGGGCTTTGGGTCCAAAGATTTGATCGCCATCAAGACACCCCTAGTGAAATTCAATGGATTATTCGCCCTACCAATGGGGAAGATCACTTTACCGGCCACCACAAGGCCTATCACGATCGATAAAGAGTTCATGGTGAACGATTCTAATTCACCATACAAAATAATCATGGGGCGCACTTAACTGCACTCACTTGGAGTAGTGAACTTTACCTACCATTAGAAGTTAAAGTTCCCCACTCCAAGGGAAGATGAAGACGTGTGGAGACCAAGCCTCATTCAAGAGTTATTTTTATGCTGTTGTGAAAGCAGGGGTCATGTCTAAGGAAATGGAGTGTACCCCGGACAAAGTGTCGAAAAATAGCAAAAGTCGCAACGGTTGGGCGTTGACGAGTCACGGATTAACCCAACCAACCGCTCTATGGATGACAGCCGGAAAGTACTCCTAAGACAGGGGGACAAGGAGAAATACTTCCTAATCGACTTGACCATGTCCCTGGCCGAGCTGAAGGAGATGGCCAATTTCTTGAGGAAGAACATGAATGTATTTATATGGGATGTCGTAGAGATGAAAGGCAATATTTGGAATTGGAAAGATCACTCTACCGCTCACCATAGGGCCTGTCACAATTGATAAAGAGTTCATGGTGACCGATTCTGATTCACCATACAAAATAATCATGGGGCGTACTTGATTGCACTCACTTGGAATAGTGCACTTTACCTACCATCAGAAGTTAAAGTTCCCCACTCTAAGGAAAAATGAAGATGTGTGGAGACCAAGCCTCATTAAAGAGTTATTTTTATGCTTTCGTGAAAGCAAGGGTCATGTCTAAGGCAATGGAGTGTACCCCGGAGGAAGTGTTGAAAACATAGCAACTACAGTCGCAACATTGGGCGTTGACGAGTCGCGGATTAACCCAACCGACCGTTCTATGGATGACCGCCGGAAGGTACTCCTAAGAGAGGGGGACAAGGAAAAATACTTCCTAATTGGCTTGACCATGTCCCTGGCCGAGCAGAAGGAGATGGCAAATTTCTTGAGGTGAACGTGTTTATATGGGATGCCGCAGAGATGAAAGACAATATTTGGAATGGGGAAGATCACTCTACTGGCCACCACAGGGCCTGTCACAATCAATAAAGAGTTCATGGTGATCAATTCTGATTCACCATACAAAATAATCATGGAGCACACTTGACTGCACTCACTTGGAGTAGTGCACTTTACCTACCATTAGAAGTTAAAGTTCCCCACTCCAAGGGAAGATGAAGACGTGTGGAGACCAAGCCTCATTAAAGAGTTATTTTTATGCTTTCATGAAGTAGGGGTCATGTCTAAGGAAATGGAGTGTACCTTGGAGGAAGTGTTGAAAAAATAACAACTACAGTGGCAACGGTTGGGCGTTGACGAGTCGCGGATTAACCCAATCGACCGCTCTATGGATGACCGCCGGAAGGTACTCCTAAGAGAGGGGGACAAGGAGAAATACTTCCTAATCGGCTTGACCATGTCCCTGGCCGAGCAGAAGGAGATGGCAAATTTCTTGAGGAAGAACG